ACACATGTCTTTCCACTATTTATGTCTTAATTTCTCTCATAAAGTATAAGATTTAATTTCCTTGGTTTAATTTGTTCCTAAATATTTTATTCATTTTGATGTTATTGTAAATGGAGTGGTTAAAAAAACCATTTCTTTTTTGATTGTTCATTGCTAGTGTATAGAAATGCAACTGATTTTTGCATGTTGATTTTGTATCCTGCAACTTTGCTGAATCCATTAGTCCCAATAGGTGTGTGTGTGTGTGTGTGTGTATGGAATCACTAGGATTTTCCACATAAAAGATCATGTCGTCTATGAACAGAGACAATTTTATGTCTTTTTAATGTGGACCTTTTATTTTCCTTTTCATGCCTAATTGCTTTGCCTAGAACTTCCAGTACTATATAGAATAGAATATATTGTTAGAGTAGGCATCTTTGACTTGTTCTGATCTGAGAGGAAACCTTTCATTCTTTCCCTAGTGATACAATGTTAGCAATGGGTTTTTGTCTTATGTAGCCTCTATCACAGTGAGAAGTGTCCTATTCCTAGTTTGTTGAGTCTTTTTATCATAGAAGGATGTTGAGTCAAATGTTTTTTCTGCATCACTTGAGATGATCATATGGTATTTTTCCCCTTCATTCTATTAATAGTATATATTATTTGATTGATTTGGTTATATTCAACCATCCTCATATTAATGGAAATAAAACTCACTTTATCATGATACATAATCCTCTTAATAAGCTGCTGAATTCAGTGTGTCATCATTTGAGGATTTTTGCATCAATATTCTCTAGGGATATTGGTCTGTAGTTTTTTTAAACTTGTACTATCTGCCTTTGGTATCAGAATAATGTGGCCTCATAGAATAAACTTAGATGTGTTCCTTTCTCTTCATTTTTTAGAAAAGTGAAGAAGATTGTTCTTTAAATGTTTGACAGAATTTACCAGTGAAGCCATGTGGTCCTAGAATTTTCTTTGTTGGGAGGTTTTGCTTACTGATTCAGTCTCTGTACTAGTTATGGGTCTCTTGAGATTTTCCTATTCTTCACAAGTCAGTTTTGTCAGAAGTTGTGTTTCCAGGAATTTGTCCATTTCATCTAGGTTATCCAGTTCTTTGATGTATAACTGTTCATAGTGTTCTCTTCTGATTATTTTTCTGTAAAATTGGTAGTAATATCTCCATTGTGGTCAGAAAAATAATTCATATAAATATATAAATATATTTAATATAAATATATTATTAAAATATATTAATACTTGTTTTGTAGATGACATATGGTCTATATTGGAGAATGTTTCATGTGCACTTGAAAACTTAATCTCAATTGTTCCAGTGGGTCTAATTGGTTTTAAATGCTATTCAAGTCCTCCATTTCTAATTTATACATGTTTTTCAGATATATTTTTTATCCCTCTTTCTTCTCTCGCCTCTCTTTTTTGTCAGCTGTAGTTACTTGCCTACCAGACTAAAGTCCCACTGATCCCTGAAGCCTTCTCATTTTCTTTGAATATCTTCTGTTTCCTGTTGGATAATTTCTGTTGCTGTGTCTTCATATTTACTTGTTTTGCTCCTGCAGTGTTTAATCTTCTGTTAATCTTGTCCTGTGTACTTTTTATCTCAGACATTGAAGTTTTCATTTCTAGATGTTTGATACAGGTATTTTTAACTCTCCTGTCTACTTAACTTTTTGAACAGGTGGTATACAGTTATAATTGTTTTTATATCTTTGTTTTTAGTTCTGAGTCAGTTTCTTTTGGTTGCTTTTTCTCCTTTTAACATGCAGATGATTCTGTGATATGTTCTGGTTTCCCATTCAGAAGTATCTCTTTATGGTACAGTTGATAATATCTTTGGTAAATTTTCATGTTCCACTTAACTTCTTGTTTCAAAGGCCTTATTGGTCATATTATCTAATTTTAACTAAAGTAACCATCAGATAATAGGCAAGTGTGCTTAAAAAAGATTCCTGCCAATAAACTGAATTAAATATCATACTAAATACATAGATTAAAAAATGTAAGCTCAAATGACAAGAAAAAAAGAAGAAAATGACCGTTTTCCTGTATGATACTATGATTTATAGTGAGAAATATGTATTTGGCTCCTGGCACAGAGATTCAGAAACACTTAGATTTTCCTAAGTGATACAAGCAATAAAGAGGTCTTTTATTTTTTATAACAAACCCCTTTGAACTATACCTGAGTTTATGACATGACATCTGGAAAGTCTCTAGGGATAGAGGTTGGTTGCCTGGACAACCAGCCATGTGACTGATTAAAGGGTTGGAATTTTTAGCCAACCCTACTTCTCCCACCCCCAGATTGGGGAGAGGGATGGAGATTTTGTTGGTCTTCAAAGGCCAATGGCTTAACCAAACATGCCTGTATAAAAATACTAAATCTTGAATTTGCAGAGTTCCGTGTGGGTGAACACATGGATGTGTTGGGAGAATGGCACGCTTGGAGAGAGCATGAAAACTCCCCACCTCTTCCCCATACCTTGCCCTATGTATTTCTTCTCTGTGGCTGTTCCTGGGTTGTGTCCTTTTATAATAAAACAATAATAAGTATCACACATTAGTTGAATCAGGCAAGGGTCGATTGGAGCCTCTGATTTATAGCCTGTTGCTCATAAGCACAGGTAATAACCTGATCTGGTGATTGGCATGTGTAATGGGGATTTGGTAGTCTTGTGGGACTGAGCCCTTACCCTGTGGAATCTGACTCTAACTCCAGGTAGATAGTCTCAGAACTGATTTGAATTATATGATACTTAGCTAGTGTCCCTGGACAATCAGAATTGCTTGTTGTAGGAAACCCTACCTCCCCAATGTATCTGGTCACAGGAGTACTGAGTGTTATGTAGGCTAGAGAGAAACACAGGAGTGAATGTTCTTTTCTAGACATCTTGCTTCTATCACAAGCATCCACATGCGGAGGTTGAAAAGCTAGTTTAATCAAATGTAGTAAGAAGTTGGCAAGATCAAACTTACCAAAAAGATTCCCACTATTGTCACCAATAAAGGCAAGTTAACAGCTACTTGCCGAACAGAACACCCAAGCTTGGTGAAGAAGCAGTTTAAGCATGTGAAGTCTGAAGAGCTCCATGTCTGCACATGAGATTCACCAGAGGAACCAAGGAAAGATAAGGGGACCTGAGGGGTTTGAATACAGATGAGGTGCCATTTCAGGCTGCCTGTGTCTGCTGACTCTTAGGACTCCAATGGGCAGTGTTTGCTGAGGAATTATCTGTAACTTTCAGATCTGATGTGTCAGAAGAGTAGCTTAGAGGTGGTTATTGATGTGTTCATTGTGAATATGACAGAGGCAGTAATTAGACTGTCAACAAATATATGCAAAAATAAGAAATTATTAAAAAGAAAGGGAATTAGGAAAGGGGAGGAAAACAAATATTCTGGGAGCAGTGAGTTTCTTCTCTTGGGTGGACAAATTAGAGGTAGCTAGCAAAAAGGCCATTCTGCCTGTGAACATTCTGTCTGGTGCTATTGAGAAAAGTTCTTTATATATTGTGTGAAAAATCTTTGACTATGTGACTGTGGAGTATGTATGGCAGACTATCTCTGTAATATCTGCCAGTGGCCTTTAGTACTGAATGTTTTCCATCATCCTGAATTTTCTCAGGTTTTGTTTTGTTGCTTAAAGCAGTATGGATAAAATACAAATAATGTAATATTTCTTATATAGCTGTGGCATAATATTCCTTTATTTAGACCTGGTGAAAAAAGGTAATGTATAGGAATTTTTGTTTGGCTGTAGAGGAACTTTATACTTAGGTTTCCTTGGACTATGTGGTTGGTACTGTCCTTTAAGCCTGTCATTGTAGGTGCGGCTTTATCAGCACAACGTTATTCACCCTAGCCCAGAGCACCAAATTTTTTTTTTAATCTTTGGTATACTGAAAGACCTTGCATAGTACACATTTTGAAATGTACTTTTATTACCTAGTTTTGTATATAATGGATCACCAGAAATATCCAAGAATTACTAATATATTTCCATATTGGTGACAGGTGTTCTAGTAAGCATTTAGTGTAGCAATTCTGAATTGATTCTGACAAGCTAATAGGACCTTTTGAAAGTTTCTTTCCAAGCTTCTTGAGCTCATGTTTTCCCTCTGGCCAGTGGGGTAGACTGTGAATTATTTTTCTATGCTCTTTAAAGACATATAGGTAGTTACTGTTCATTTAAGCCAGATAGCATGTGTCAGCTCCTTTTCCTGGAAAGGGAGAGGTTTTTTGGGCTGCTGTAGTAAAACCTTATGTGACTTCTTATGAAGCTCTTTACATAAATTAGTACTTTAAGATTTTCACAGCACTTGGAGCCCTCCTGTTTTTCACTTATAAAGATTCTTAGAGGGTTGGACACAGATGTTTCTGTGTGAAATTCTCTTTGCAGTTGTGCAGTAGCAAGTGATCATTGATAAGGTTATATAAAATTAATACTTTTTTAGTATAAAAACACAGCAAAGAATTCTTAAGACAAGGAATAAGTGGCCCTTTTATATTTTTACCAGTCCTCCAAGCTGCCTATAGTCAGAATCTGAGTTAGCCAGCTGTGGACAACACTTTTAATAATAGTTTGTAGATGCTCAGGAACCCCTAGAAATGCCCCAGTTCACATCAGCCTTATGTAGTTTTCTCTGCATTAGCACTGTGAATTCTAGCTCTTAGAGGCTTTTAATATGCATTGTCAATCATCCCCTTACACTGGATTTTATTTTTTCAATACAATATTTATATTTTCAAGAAGTACAGGTAGGTGAGTGTTTAAATTCTACGAGCATTTGTTTTTCATTTATCCTGATTAAAAAGTCCTAAGCAACAGGACTTTAGTGACACTTTTTCTTCTATCTTCACATCCATAATTCTAAAAATTTAGGTTATGAATTTGTACACTTGATAAAGTGGCTTTTCTATTTTCTGTTTTTCTTGGTGATTGACTTTACAAGTATATTTTATGGGATTCTTATCAAAACTTTCATTTTTTCAAGGTGTTGACTTTAAAGTGAAAACAATTTCAGTGGATGGAAATAAGGCTAAACTTGCAATATGGGTAAGAGGTTTTAAAATGTATTTTGTATAAATATTAAACTTGTACTTTTTAAAGAAGCAGAAATTGGTGTGTGTGTAGTGTTCTAGAGGTGAATGAACAATTTGTCTTAAATTTTGGGGGGATTTGATGTTGATTAAAGGATAAATAGTTCTTTTAATTGGGTAATTAGGCAGACTTGTTTTACTTTTTCACATTTTGAAAATATATAATCCTTTCAGAATATCAAAAACAAAGTCTAAAAATCATTTTGACTGAGAGAATTACTGTTACTGAATGTGTTTTTTTAAAGTTTGAAAAAAACCTAGACTTTGGGGAATGGAGTGATACTTAGAAAAACATTTATTTTTCATGTTTGTTAGTATAAATATTTATAAAATTTGAGTTTGAGAACCTTGAATTTATTTTTTAATACTGATGCCCTGTTTTTACTTACTGGCTAAATTGCCTGTGAACCCAACCATTCTGACCCACATGGCTCTGCTAACTAGACTTGTTCATGTAATGCTGAATAAGAGAATAACTACCAGAAATGTCCCAATGCTCAGTGGCTGTGTCTGTCTGCCTGTCTCCCCACCTCCTGTCTTTCTGTCTGTCTGTCTGTGTCAGCTATCTGTTATCTGTCTGTCTATATGTGTCTCTCTGTCCAGTTACTTTAGGATGTATGCCTGGAAGTAGAATTGTTGGCTCAAAGATGTACATCTTTACTTCCCTTCAAGTTATTTTACATGAGCAGACTACACACTTTTCTTTAAAGGGCTGGATAATAAATATTTAGTCCAACCCTAAAGTGGGCCATATGACAGTACATAAGCAAATGGGCTTGCCTATATTCCAATAAAACTTTACTTAGTAAACCTTACGTCATAAAACAGGTAGTGCACTGAAACAGCAGTTGACAAACTGCAGCTTTGCATAATACTAGTTATCTTGAGGCTACAGTCCAAGGATAGTAGACAGAAGACAGAAGGAGCCAGGCCCCAAAGTAGAGACTAATTAGTTTATTCATCTCCCTCCCCCTCCCCACCCAACAAAAGTTGAGCAGCTGGGCAAGAATTGCTCTAGGCACTAGTGTTAAACTGGTGATTAAGCAGATGAGGTTCCCTTTCTCATGAAATTTATTTCCTAGCTAGTGTACATCTTATGTTCATCACCCTGGTAGGCGTCAGAAACATGAAATAAGAAGTGGGTTGGTTTTATGCATTTTCCTAAAAGAAGATACAGAGAAAACACTCAGAGTCCAGCCTCATAATTGCTTGTCTAAAATAAGGCACCCCTGTAATTCTCTGTAAATAAGTGGTTCTCAAACTTGATTCTACATTAGAATCACTTCGGAATATTTTTTAAAACTTCTGTCATACCCTAGACCAATTAAATCAGAATCTTTTGGGGTTTGACCCAGGCATCAGTATTTTTCAGTTTCCAAGAAGTTTAATCATGTAGCCAGAGTTGAGAACCACGGCTTTTAGTGAAATGGCCTTAACCTGTGATAAAAATGTAGAAAATCTTTACATAGTTGTATTTTTCTAGAGATGAGTCAATATCTTTTAATTTTATGTAACACATAAAGAGAACACTTCTTATTTAAATTTCAAGTTTTAAATGCACTTGTGTATTATGTTATTTTTAATAATGCATTTGACTTTCTACTCTTAAATTAGTAATGTTGAGTTTATTATTTATACTTTGTTTTATTTAATAATAATTGATTGTCACTTTTAGGATACTGCTGGTCAAGAGAGGTTCAGAACATTAACTCCCAGCTATTATAGAGGTGCACAGGGCGTTATATTAGGTAAGGTTGTTATTGTTTTATTAGTGGTATTTCTGATTTTCCTTGTCTGTGAAGGTCAATAAGTTTTTGTTTTATTTATCCTTGGGGCTACTTTTATGTAACTTAAAGTTTATTAACTTCATTTAATACTGATGAATACTTAAACTTTAAAAATTTCAGCCCTTTGTCAAACAGTTAAAAAATAAAGATCTGACTAATTAATTTGTTTTAAAAAGCACATGTTGATGAGGACATAACAGAATTAATCCATACATAGTTGGTCTGTCTTAGGGCATCACCAGACTTACCTTCAGTCAGCAGCATATTAACATTTGCCACAGTTTATAAAAGGAAGAAAAGTGTTGGTTGCATAGTAGAATATATTTTATTAGTCCTAAAAATCAGCACAACCCACTTAACACTGCTGATTCATAACCACACAAAATTTAAAAACCAAGTGTGGATTCAATTTCAGTTTTTTAAATGTGCTTATTCTTAATATTCCTGGGAAGCTCTTTAACATGAGCATTGGTGAGTTGCAGGGAGAATTCTCTCTCTTTATATCATGGCTTGTGAGGCTTTGGTGTCATTGCTGTTCATTTGACAGTGACTCTTACAGTTGTGGTTCAGCATCTCCCAAGTTTAGAAAAAACTTTCAATTAATAAGTGCTTTATTTATTATAATGCAGGATGATATGAGGTGAAAGTGACAACAGAGGAAGGTAATTAGGATCCCATACACTAATGTCACAAATTTTTTCCAAGTTGCAAATTGTCCTTTAAAGAAGCAAATTAACATGGTCATAGATGTTTAAATTCATATAAAGTTTTTTGGTATTTTGCCACAGACTTGATGTATAAACACTTTTTGGTTTTTTGAACATTCCTCTTAACTGTTCTGAATGGGAATAGCTGTTTTGTTTAAGTTAATTTTTGGTTATCACACAGGATATAGTTTCATTTTTCTCACTGTGTATTAATAAAATTGAAGTGTGTGTGTGCCTTTTTTCTTAACACACTTGTTTCTTCCATCTGTCAGGAGTCACTGATTATTAAGCATTGAAGGTAACATTAACTCCTGGTTGCATATCAGAAATATAATATCATTGCTTCTTATTTCTAATACTGATATAATAAATGACTCTTCATTTCAGTTTATGATGTCACAAGAAGAGACACCTTTGTTAAACTGGATAATTGGTTAAATGAATTGGAAACTTACTGCACAAGAAATGACATAGTAAACATGCTAGTTGGAAATAAAATTGATAAGGTAAGATGTCAGACACTTGGCATTTTGGCTGTCTATTTTGGTAGCTTTTCTTAAACTTTGCATTTATGTTTCAGGAAAATCGTGAAGTTGATAGAAATGAAGGCCTCAAATTTGCACGAAAGCATTCCATGTTATTTATAGGTAGGTGTGTGAATATCCGAGTTTCTGCTACACTTTTCTCTTTACGAACCGTAAAATGTATGTATTTAGTTCGTAGTGTCTAATGGCATTCAGGAAAGCCAGGCACCCAGTACTAAAGGATTACCTGTTGGTCCATGTGCCAGCAGGGGTGGCGCCACTGGGGTGCTGGTTAGAAATGCTTCATTTCAGGCCCTAACCCAGATTTTCTTCATTAAAATCTGCATTTTTAACAAGCTCATCATGTGATTTGTATGCATTTGATTTATATATGTGAGAAGCATGGTAGGTAGAGCAAGAATTGGCAAACTGCAGTGCTCTGTTCTGAAATTTTTTGAAAAGACCCATCTGTGTAGAAAATGGACCATAAGAAGCACATGCAGGAGGCTAGTCACTCTCTTAGAGAGAACCAGGTGATTTGATGCTGGTTGCTTTGGCTGTTGTAGCAGTAGTGTGTGGTAGAAAGGTAGCGGAGTTGGAGATACTTTGATAGTTAAGCTGACAGGCTAGGATGATAGATTGGGTGTGGAGAATAATGAAAGAGAGCAGTCAAGGGTAACTCCGAGGCTTTGACATTGAACAACTAGGTGAATTGTGCTGCCATTAATGGGCTCATGGAAAATGGAGATAACAGATTTGGGAAGGGGAATAGGGAGTAAAGAATTCTGTGTGGACATAGAATGAACCATCTTTCAGATAACCAGTGGATATGCCAATTATTGGTATTTATGTGGTATTTAAAGTTGTGGGATTGGAGTGATCACTGAAAGAAAAGCTAGATAGAGAAGGGCTGAAGATTGAACCTTGGGGTCCTCCAACAATTAGAGGTCAGCAGAAGATGAGGTGCCAGCGAATAAAGCTAAGAATGACATGCCTGTGGGAGGAGGAATACCAGGAGTGGTCAGTGTCCTGGAAGTCAAGAAACAAAGTATTTAAAGGAAGAAAGTGATCAGCTCTATCAATTACTGCAAGTTATCAAATGAGATGAGGACATTAAATTTGACAAGATGAAAGATATTGGTGGTCTTCAGTAGAAGAGTTTCAATGAAGTGATAGGAAGAAAAGCCTAATTAGAAGAAAAAATGTAGAGCCAAATTAGAAGAAAAAATGTGAGAAAAAGTGGAAACAGCTTATGTGGGTAACTCTTTAAGAGAGTTTTGCTTTGAAAGCAAGTAGAGAAACTGGGTGGCTTCTAGAAGGATGTATGGGCTTGAGGGCAAGCTGACTGGTGGGTGGGTGGTTAGTTGGTTAATATGATGGACAGTAATTTGGGCAGGATTTTGATCTGACTGGTATGACCCAGTAGTGAAGGCATATGATTTTTCAGTGAATAAGTAGGGATAGGAGCTCAGAAACTAGAAAAGGGGAGGGCCCTACATAGCATGGATAGTTCATCCTTTTTAATAGCACAGGAGGCAGAGCCTTAGGATATTATGTTCAGGGAGGCTGGTAAACCTATTAGTGGCATGATCAGTGGTGCTTATCAGCTTGTTTCTGTTTTTCTCAACATAAAGCTAGATCATGAGCTGAGATGGAGGAGTTTTAAGAGGAAGAAATAAAATAGTTATCTCAGACAGTAAAAATGGTAGACACTAGGGAAATGTTGATCAGGGGGCAGGGTTAAATGTCCACATCAGTTTCCTGAGCATAAATTTTAAATGGGACCAGTGACCATGGTTGCATATCATTTACCCAACCTACCCAGCTAGTATATGCTGATATAAGGTCTATTTTTGGTCTCCGTTTGACTTAAATACTCCTCTATCAATTACTGAATTAATTGGTACATAGAACTCCTAGACCTGCTAGGAGATATATAGGTATCCTCCAACCTGGCAAATGTCCTTAGAGGAATAAACAAGAGCATGATTCCACAGCTTTTCCAGGATATTTGCTGACAGATGATCTTTTAGTATTAAGCATTTACCCGTAGCTGCTTGATTGCAGGTGTACAGAACAATCAGATTAATTGTTTTAACTTAGAGCTTAAATTGCCTTATTCTAAAATAGGAATAATATCTGCTTTGAGGGCTAATTTAAAGAACTAGCTGAAAAATTAAGGAGAGAACTTGGAGTAGAGCTTGAACACATATACAGTTCTATCACAAAACCTTGGGCTTACATACCACTGTTCATATGGGTAGAATTTAAACAGCTCAGCTTTGAGAGTTGGGGAAAATTGCTGATTGGGCTCTTTGTATGTTGTTGGAAGATATTTGTGCCATAATAGTTACCCCGAAAAACATGAATTTGACCAGAAAAGAATATACTATGACATTTTTCCTTGAATTTCAGAGGCAAGTGCAAAAACCTGTGATGGTGTACAGTGTGCCTTTGAGGAACTTGTTGAGAAGATCATTCAGACACCTGGACTGTGGGAAAGTGAAAACCAAAATAAAGGGGTCAAACTGTCACACAGGGAAGAAGGCCATGGGGGTGGAGCCTGTAGTGGTTACTGTTCTGTGTTCTAAACTCTGGGAAACTCTATCTCTTGCATATTTGATTAGATAGTGACATCTTTCTGTATATAAACTCTTTAACTGCTATTTTAGGGAGCTTGCAGTTTGCACATATTTGTTTTCTATCATGGCAGTAAATATTTGCAAGAAACCCCACTCATCGGCTTTCCCAGGTGAAATGTTAATGATAAGCATGCACAGTTTGCAGTCTGCAGTTTTTTATGTAACATAAAAGAGGTGTACCTTTGTAAGTACATTTGGTTTTATGATTTATGTTTATCATGTGACTTAAAAACCCCACCCATCTAGTATATGTTGATATAAGGTCTACTTTTGGTCTCCATTTGGCTTAAATACTCCTATTGATTACTGAATTAACTGGTATGTAGAACCCCTAGATCTGCTAGGAGATATACACAGGTATCCTCCAACCTGGCAAATGTCCTTTGAGAAATAAACAAGAGCATGATTCCACAGCTTTTCCAGGATATTTGCTGATAGATGTTCTTTTAGTACTAAGCAAAATTCTTTTTACAGGATGTAGTCCAGGCCAATTTATAAGTGAATGTGTTTATTCTGATGATGCTTCTAAAATAGCATTAACATGTTAAAGAAGTTTGGTCTTACTTTCTAATTTACTTCAATGAGTAGCTCAGTTGCTTAACTAGAGTTTTAATTCTGTGACATGTACATTGGAGTCATGATCCTTTGTTTAGTGTTTTTAGTTATGTAGTGTTTGGCAGAATGGCGATAAGGTTTTCCCCCATTTTGGTTTCTGAAGGACATGAAAGTGTTTATATAACTCATGTAGTACTTACCACTTTTAAAACCAACACCTTTTTCCATAAATGTTGGTGGTGTTTGTCCAGGTCCTTAATTGTAGCTTGTGTAATGTTTATGAATATCTGTATCTTACACTTCCATAAATGGCTAGTTGATATTCAAAAACTTATTTCTGTGTTTTGAGTGTTGGGTTAAAAAGAACACTAAGTAAACACTAAATGACAGTTTGAGAAAGGTATATTGCTTCCAGATTTTAATGTGTGTGGGAAAAGATGTTGCAATGAAAATCTTGGTAATTTACTGTAACAAGTAGGCAATAATTATCACAACCAACTTGTACAGACTAATGAATCTTTTCCACAGTAGTCAGTTTTCTAACCTCTTGCTATTGTACATTATATGTCTTTTTTCACTCATGTTATTTAATTTACCTTGATCACTGCTAATTTAAAACACCAAATAAGTAATTTGTCCTTTTAGACAAGCCACTATAATACCTCTTAGTAAGATTCTGAAACTGATTTATGAGCAATTTGTTCTCTGTATACAGTTGCAAATGATAAACATCTTTGTCTGTCACCTTTACAGTATGTGTGATAATCAATTTATTTCAAGTTGGGGTCTCTGTGAAATGTACCTCTTCCCATAAGAAAACTTTACATTCTTACTTGGTTCACACTTGTTAGAATACATTACATGTAGTTAAAGGTTTTATACATTATATATGTTTTAACTAAATATAAAACACTTAAACTACTTTAATGTTGGAGAAAGGTAGCTAACACATGTATTTACGAAATCATGTTTGTGTTACATTCAAACGTAGGTTTGTATTACTTAGTGTCTGTTGACAAGATATTTCTGTTTATTGCTCTTTGCTCCTTGGTTTACATAATAATCTTTCTGTGCATTGGATTGTTGTCTTGATTTGGTCAGAATTTGCATACATATGAGTCACCTAACTTTTAAAACTTAATTTTGTTTGGTACATATATATTGTAACCTTTTATAGTTTTTTAATAAACATAGCCTGCTTTCCCTAAATGCATTTGTACAGGAAGTATTATACATTTCTCTATTCCTTTAATCAGCTGAGGAGCAGCTGAAGGTAGTGTTTTTCAAATCTGATTATATTACATGGCTTTCACTTAGTATTTTGTTGCAAGCTTATTGTTTCATAGTGGAGGTTTTCTAAGTGAAGTAGCTGTAATTTCTAAAATTAGTGAGTTCAGTAACTGAGGGTTTTGATAATTCTTCATTTCCAAATAATTTGAAGTAGTTTTTGTTTTGTTTTTTTGGTTTCACTTTAGTCTGGTTGGTTTTTTTTTTTTTTTTTTTTTTTTTTTT